AATAATTTTTTTTTTTTTTTTTAAACAGGGAAAATAGGATACCAGCAAGTACGCATTCCTTTTTTAAACTCCAGCTCTGGGCTATATGAAAAATTAATTAATTTCTGAGGAAAATCAATTTCTCTATGTGACCATATTAGACAGAGCCCGGCAAGGGCCTGCATTCCTACTCCAATCAGGAAATCTCATCTGCTCCCTCCAACTTCTGTCAGTAGCATTTAACATCCTGGTACAAGCGTCAGTGACTTCCGCCATGCTCTCTTAATGTGCTGTAAGATGTGTGTGTGTGTGGGGGGGGGGGGACAAGCTCCATCTGAAGAAAGGGAATGGACCCAACATCTGTCAGGTAGACACTCTCGAGCGTAAAATCAGCAGGTAACAATCACTCAACAAGTCCGCGTTACACGAGTCGCGTTGGAACGGCTTCCAACAGTTTAAAAACCTGACAGAATAAGTGAATTTGGTTAAAAAGGAAAATGCATAATTTAATACGTAGTAATCAGCRTGGAGAGAGAGAGARAAAAAAAACTTGAGTTTTAATRTGTGGTTTTTAAAGCATTTCATTTAGCGAAAGGAATTAATTGGCAAATCAATCACTTCTGCAGATCCAGTAAAGCCATGCAAATAAGATAGGAGCGTGGACAACTAATGCATCCAAGAGGCAAATTAACAATACGGGGCCTCTCTGCCATGCAAATAGCCTCCAAATCCACAAATGACATTAGACAGTGTCAAACAAAGCCTCTCTAACAAGTGAAATCTGTGCATTTTAACAGTCTTGGCTCAGCTTCTTTTTTTTTTTGTTTTGTTTTTTTTAAGGAGACACGACCCTAAAAGAAACAGGAACTCCCCTCAGCAAAATAAAAAGAAAACATATTGGTTTGCTTCTTTTTCATCTAACTCAGTGAATGTCAAATCAGTAAAGCAGTTCTAATTTTCAAGGAGACTATTTGTTTTCGAAGAAAAAAATAAAAGAACACCTTGCCGCCATCTGCCAACTGCACAGTTGACTTGAGCACATGTACTGTACCTAATCAAATTTAGCAGATCCCCACTGAAGGATTAAAATTAAGRAAAAAAAAWGAGAAACGCCTTTTTTTTCTTACTCCAGTAAAGAAACAACAAACAATATAAGTGCCAATTTGGCTTTTGAGAAAGTACTTCAATAGATTTGGATTTTAAACAGCTTTGTATACCATTCTCTCTTCCTCGCTCTTTTTCTGCCCATCTTTATCTCTCCTCCCCTCTCTCCTTCTCCTTCTCTAATCAGGCATCTGTCACTCTGTTTTTGAAGTTATTATCGCCCGAGCTCCCTCTTGGATGTGGTTGCCGGGTGACGGGTATCTTAGCACCCACTCTGACTGGGAATGATTTGAATGGAATCCAGAAATCTCCCCTGAGTACCTGTAAACACATCCGTGCCTTGTAGAAAACAAATATATTATAAGAGGGGCTCAGCAGAGGAGGAGGAGGAGAAGAAGAGGAGAGAGAGAGAGAGAGAGACAAGCTGGCACCCTCGGTGGCAGCTCACACTGAGCGCTAAACAAAACAATTACCGTCATTTGCAAATATGTGTGTTTAGGCATAAACACTCCTGAAGTAGGAACAAGAGAGGTGAGAGCTCGAGTAACGCGTCCTGTCACTTCAGCATCAATTATATACAATCGTTAAAGAGAAAAGAAKTTCTGCGACGACCCGTCACGCGTTCTCGGGACCGGGATCCGATTGACAGAAACAAGCCGGGGAAAATCTATTTAGGGAGGGCGTGTAAGTGAAAAGCCGAGCCGGTTCCCAGAGGTGGGGACATAGTCTGGGGCGTGTGGTTAACCTTCAGGGGTAGACAATGATTGTCAATTAACTGCTGTACTTCTGCACCCCAGCATCAGATAGCATGGCCCGCTCAAAGCAGGCCAATGAGAGATATGCGATATCGCCACGCCACCCCCACCCCCACCCCTGTTATAATAACCTTTCAGAGAGTTCAAGTGTCACGCAGCAATAAGAACCTTTTTCATCCCGCCACAGGGAGAATGAAAAGGAAAACAAGTAGCTGGAACACAGGGCTCCTGGAGGGCTCCTGGAGGGCCCAGAGTCATAATGTAAGGTGG